CCCGAAGGACCCCTGTTTTGTTACGAGTGCTGACTTTTAAATGTCATCGTTCTCTGTCTGCTCTTCAGTGCCTCGCGGTTCGGGTGGGAAGGCGATGGGGTCTGGGCTCAGTGTCAGTGACCCGAGAATGAGCTTTTTAACAGCGAGATTTCTTAGCTTGCTGTCTCACCATTTGCCACTTACAAACCCGCAATCAGGAGGCCGAAGCCCCCACCCTCGGGGTGATTTTTAAAAGCTCTGCGGGGGTGCGACATTTTCCAAATGACCATTTTTCTGTCTGACCTTTCTGTTGACCTTTTTGGCGAGTAATTGCAATTTTTGAAATATTCATTTGTGAGTTATGTCATTTGCAAGCATCGTGATTAAAAACACTGCTCGCATGAAGGCGGTGGAAGTATCCAGCCCTTTACGCTTTGCTTACCCCAAATCACTTCTTTCATACATATATATATATATATAATATATAATATATATATATATATATATATTTATATATAATATATATATATATATATATATATATATAATATAATATATATATATGTATGTGTGTGTGTGTGTTCAGCAGAGCTCTTGTCAAAGGAATTATCCAGGGAGAATCTGCAGTGGAGAAAAGAGATCCACACTGCATATAAATACACCTCTATTAGTTGAAGAGAGGGAAAGCGAGATGAAGTGAATAGAACATGGGAGCTTAGGGTAGAGGATGGACTTTCAATAAGACTATTTCGATTTTCAATAGATCTGACAATGATGTCTGCAGGTAGACGGGGATGCGTGCAAGCAGGGCGAGATGACGGCTCTGGCACCTGAGGAATATGAGCCCTATCAATCACCGCCTCCGGGCACAAATGTAATTACACTACAGTTGTTGACTAGCTGGGTAATCTGAGACATCACTGGCCTGCTTTTACTCGCCTGCATTAGGGGATTGCTGGTGCCCATTTACGGCATCGTGTTCGCCGCTCTCTGATGTTTTTTTAATGTTTCTTTCGGGGGGGATGCTGGCATCAGCTGAGCCCTTGGCTTAGCGCTGCGATGAGGTTTGAGAGAATGACTCTAAGATTTCATAGCAAATCAATGAGATCGTATTTATCGAGATTAATGCAGACTATTCAATAGGGCCTCTTTTTTTTTTTTAAACTGAGGCAGCTCTCAAAGTAAGCATGCGCACTTAAAAGCAGGAGGATAAATAAACAATTAATTTTTTTCAATCAAAGTCAATTACACTTTAGACATTTAGCTAAGTGCACCTGCCGTATTCATCCCGTGTTATCCCCCTTGCTCTGCTGTTGTCACTTTCAAAGAAGTTTGGTGTGATCCACAGCGGTGCTTTTCAGGGGGTGGAATAAATATTCCCATTAAGAGGGAGATAATTGATGGCTTTCATCGCCACTGAATATAACAATTCCAATCGGTGATATTTCAATGGCAAGAGTGCTTTACTGTGTTGGGGCTTGAATGATTTATGAGACAAAATGAAATGACACAATAATGAGGGACTTTGTTGTTTCACCTCGCCGTGTGCCTTTGTGTTTTCTCTGTTTAGCTCCAGGGAAAGATAAAAAGTGGTACTTGGATGACTTTTTAAACTGCTAATGGTGGAGATTGTGTCCCCTTACATAAATACGGCATAATGATCTATTATGGGACACACACAGTACTGTGCAAAAGTCTCAAGCCGACCCTCATTTCTTTATATTCCCCTGGGAAAATGGGAAATAGGTGCAGCAATTTATTGGAAAGAACAGTTCTAACAAGCTTGAAAGTCGATATTTGGGTTGACCAACTTTAGTCTTTAAGTCAGCCTGAACTCTCTTAGGCAAGATATCTTGTAAGTTCTTCAAGAAGTCTTCGGGAATAGTTCTCCGTGCTTCTTTAAGGACATTCAAAGCTCTTCTTTGGATGTTGGTTGCCTTTTTGTTCGGTTCTCTATCAAGACGATCGCAGGCTGCTTCAATAACATTGAGGTCTGGGGATGCTCGTCTATGACTGATAGCATTCATTGTGTGTTTTTCTACCAAGGCATGCTTTTGCTGCATTGGCAGTGTGGTTGTGATCATCCTCATGCTGCAAAATACAGCCTATCAGATGCTTTCCAGATGGGATTACGTGTTGGATCAAAATGTGACTGTACTTTTCATAAGTATAGACCGCTGTATATGTTGATGATGACTGTTGCCACTGATTTTCAGATGCAGCTCTCAGGTCCTCTGTCAGGTCTTTTCTGGGGGGTTTTCCCTATTGCTTAAGGACATTTCTAGTCCAGTTTCTTCTATTTTTTTTAAAGACAATCCATGCTTAGATATTCCAAGTTTTCAGTTAATAGCTCTTTTAAAATCACCTTGTTGGTTCAAAACTACAATTTTATTCCTGTGAAACTGTGTTATCTTTGGCATTTTTCACAGACTCAACTGAATAAATTGGAACAAATGTGTTTTTGCAACCTAGCTGATAGCAACAAAGTGCCTAAAGATACAATTTAAAATTATTTGCTAAATTGTCAGTTGTGTGTAGACACAACACTGGTTCCTGCCTTGAGTTAGATGTGTTTTTATGCTTGAGTGATTCATAGGTCAAGATCTGGGCTGATAATGAATGAAAAAGAAACCTGGGGAACTATTGCTTAAGACTACTTTTAAATAAATCTGGGTCTGTGGAAGCAAATTAAAGAAATGAGGGGTGGCCCAAGACTTTTGCACGGTACTGTATCTGCACAATGTGGATTCCATGAAAGTTCACTGTGAAAATACAGTAAATTAAGTAAATCTACTAATTTACTGTAATGCACAGTAATACAATTATATCCACAAAAATCTGGCAGGGTTCTGTATTAAGCTGTTTGATTTAGGTTATAAAGAAAGGCATTTACTCAAAGTTATTCCACTGGCTAAAAAACACCCACAACTACATTACTTTTAAAAATGTCTTTTATTTTTAAAGTGTTCAGTGTTCATTTCCTATATTTGCATTCGATGGCACGATACCATAGGGAAGACGCGAGAACAAAGAGTTCTGCAACAGATGGTATGGCCCCCACAGAGCCTTGATCTCAACATCAACCAATCCGTCTGAGATTACATGAAGTGTCAGCTCGACATTGTTGCGCCTAGCTGTTTTAAGATATGTAATTAAACATGATAAGCCGGTCTGACTTCAATAAAGCGGCAGTACTGGGAAGAGCTGGTAAAGAAAGAAACGAGCCGTGCGTGGCGGCACAGCGCTGGACGAACTTGAATGTAACTTCCGTCAGAAAACCGTCATTGTTAGTGCTTTGCTTTGTTTCTTGTGTGAATCACAACCAAACAATGAGATGGCTGCAAAAGGGTGAGGAAAAACGAGAGAGCGATGGATGAAAATTGTACACTTCACACATCTCAGACGCAGCTGTTTATTACTTAAGCATTTGCCGCTTCACACCCAAGGTGATGGATGCCATAAATATATATTTAAAACTGTGACAAAAGGTTCAGTTATCTTGGTTTGTATGCTATCACCTATTCTAGGATTTTCATTAGCAAATAACACTGGTTTGTGCTTTACAGACAAGTACGCTCTGTGATCGTGGATTTAAATAACTGTGACTGATGTGGATCCTTTCATTAATTGTCTTTTTTCAGGAGTTTTCAATTGCGTGACCTTAAAAGTAAGAATTTTTCCCATTTGAGCTTTTTAAATGGAGACTTCTTGTATCTGCAGCAGTTGCACTCGACTTGCTGATGCCGTATTTATGATATGATTGAAGGCTGCGGAGGAATGATTAAAAGGACCTTGTGGTGAGATTATTGTCGCTGTTGTTGTTTCCAAGGTCAAAATGAGCTCGTGGTAAATGGACTGCACTCGCATAGCGCTCTTCTCCATTCACATTCATACATAGCTCTTTATTGTATACATACTGTCACAAACACACACGAGTGACACATTGGGGCCACGTTTGGAGTTTTAGAGATACATGTGGTATCACCCACTCTCGTTTTCACATGTGGATTCACTCCGTGTGCCTCTTTTTCTCCATCTGTCCTCCCTGATGAATGTCTGTGTTCCATGTCATCCAGCGCTGGCTTTTTCAGTTCAGACACTCGTCTGAAAGGATGTTTATAGAAATCCGTAACTGCCACAGTCCTCCTGCAGTCACTCAGGCCAATGTTTACGCTTCTCGCTCATTTTTTATTCTCGCTGTAAACACAGAACTTCTCCAGACTGCTCTGCACATGCCGTGTTCGTGCGCGACTGTGAGTCTCCGCAGATGTGCGTGCGTGTCAGAGGAAAGGGAAAAAATGGCAACCTTTGGACGGCCGCCTCTCAGCCTCACTGGGGTCTCCCGGCCATTTTAGCTCTGCAGTAAACAGCGTATTTTTGCCAATTTGACTCCCATTTTTGGCTTGAGGCACAGGGCCACCTTTTGACCTCCTGCCTCTCGCCTTTGTGTTGTCTAACTGAAAGGCATTGTTTCACCTTAAAAAACAAAGAATCTGGCGCTTCTTATGATTTATAGATTTTAGTCTAGAGGGAAATTTCAACAATTTACTTGGGCCACACTCTGCTGTGGATCCTTTGCCTTTGTGTTTCTGCCTGTCTCTAATTTCTCAGTTGAGTGCCCATGTAATGAATGTTTATTTTCTCACAGCCAAAAGCAAACACCGTGTCCATTTCCTTATGTTTGATCTGTGTAGTATCTCCGACTCTCTCTTTCGACAGCTCCTGGCCTCTCCGGGGCCCCTGTGTTAGCGCTCATCCTCCCACTCCAAACAAGCAGCGTCCTAACCACCCACACTCTCTAGAAAAGGGTGGCTAACCTCTTCACCTATGCCTCTGTGTCAGACCTTTTGATTGTATTTTCCTGCAGTAGTATACACTTTTTAAAAAAAATGCAGGTCTGAGCTAACCACAACTGCAGTATGAAGTTGCTTTAACACTTATTTGTAGAAATATTTTCACCGGTAAGAAGAAAACGGAAATTCTCACACACTGATTTATTTATTTATTTTGTATTCTTTCAGCCTTCAGTCGAGCACCCATCCCCATGGCGGTGGTGAGGAGGGAGCTGTCGTGCGAGAGCTACCCCATTGAGCTACGGTGCCCGGGCACTGACGTCATCCTGATCGAAAGCGCCAACTACGGCCGCACTGATGATAAGATCTGCGACGCAGACCCAGCACAGATGGAGAACACACGGTGTTACCTTCCAGATGCATACAAGATCATGTCTCAAAGGTACGGACATAAATTTGTCTGAATTGTAGTAAATATTCTTAATCGGCTATATAATTAATATTTAAGAGTTCAAGCTGAATTATAGCAATCAGCTTTGCTATGAAACTTAATTTCACACTGAGGACTTAACCAGGTTAAAAAGTGATGAAGTAAAAAAAACTTGAGTACTTCCCCGTAGACACCTGTGTTAAAGGTTCCTGCTGTACAAACGAACATGTTTACAGTTCAGGATGAAAATGGTTGTAGCTAATTTTCCCTTTCATAGCTGCATTTTATTTTCTATGAGGCTTAAAATGTACATTAAGGGCTGACAGGTAAATGCAAACACAGGTGGCTATAGATGGTTCTGCCTGTTAGTTTTTAGGTCAGGAGAGCCAAGTAACTGGACTACTTTTCTTCATGGGTGTTGGTTCTGTTTGGAGAACCAACCATTTTAAATGCTGTTATGTGACAAATAAAGTGGGAAGTCTAAGAAGTCACATTTGCTGAGTGAAAATCTAGCATCTTATTTGTTTCTTAACACTAATTAGATCCTATTAGTGTCTATGTAATTAATCTATAGAGTGTATGGATGCAGCTTGCTAGCAAAGCTAACTGTTAGTGTTAGCTAAGTGGTAGCATTAGCTTAGCTAGCAGGCTAACTCTACTTAGCTTTTTTCCATCTAAAAGTGGTCACATCTGTCCACAGAAACTTTTATAGCAATGGTCATAAATCTAACGCTGAGTATTCATTATGCTAGAAGACAAAATCATAGATAATTTGGAGGCTACATCCATATTTTATATACAGTCTATGGAAGCTACAGCTACATGTAGCTACAGCTACATGGGAGCTGATATAAATAACCTAAAACCGCCTTCCCACTGAAAGCTTATTAGCCTACTTTGCTAGCTTTCACTTCATTGTGGGTTACAAACTTAACCGTGCAGTGTGTTCTCCAAAGTCTACTAAACAGGAAGTAGTCAAAACTGTACATACTTAGCTCTAGAACGAAATTACAAGATCCAAAAACCCTCCTACACCGTTTCCAAGAATTGTGGTGGAAAAGGGTCATAATGACGATTGAAAAATATGCATAATAGATGCAGTATAGTTATGTTTTTTTCTATCCTTGGATGAAAAAGAGAATTTAAAACACATTCCCAGTCTATTTTCTTTCTTTTATGCAGCATCGCTAAAAGAAATCCAGGGCCACGATGCAAGGTCTTTTTATATGCACTCATTTTAAAGGTGTATTGTTGACCACAGCAGATGATGATAATAATAATAATGATAGGTTGTTTGGGCTCCCATTCAGAAGACTAGCTTGAGACTATTTGCATGCATGAATATGTACGTGTTCACACACAGGCATGCTCAGAGGAAACAAATTGCTTTTTGCTCTTAAATAATTGCCATATCTTGAAAACATAATCAACCAGTCTTGTGTTAATGAGAAATACTTTAATTCACACCTGAGGATTGCTGATATTTAATAAAAAATTAAAAATGTCTTCTTTTTGAAACATGTTTTCTTAAAAGAGTAGCTTTTTTAATATATTTTACTTACTCCCAAGAATGTACACACTTTATTTCAATACTATTTGGGTCTGGTTTGAGACCAGCCCTTGAGATTTGTTAAAAGTATAAAACAGAGCGCCAAGTTAACAAAGCCACAAAATGAATGCAGAGCAGATTATTAGGGTAGGGTATAGTGCGTACACTTTTCTCTGTTATGGATTAATTTGACTGAGAAAACGAGTGAGCCACAAGCAGCATTAACCACAAACCTCACCATACCTGGCTGCTAATCTGTGCCAGCCATAAATTTAAACTGACACAAATCAATGATCATTACAAATAATATGAACAGGTTATTTGTTAAAGCAGAAGAAACATGTGTGATGAGTTTCACTGCCAGAAGTGAGCTTTGTTTTCAGAGTTATGAGCCTGTTGTGCAGAAACCGGGACATGGAGGCCTATTTGTCAGGCCAGAGAGCGAGGATGCTCTTACTGTACTTCGGCTTTTTGCGTGTAATAGATTGCTAACATTAAGGCAATATATAAACAAGTTTTCAGTGTTTGAAGCAAGTTGTATGAAAGCAGTGAACGGGGAGCTCAGGGAGAGTGCCGAGTGAATATACATATAGTCAGTCTTTGGTGTGTTGTTGACTTACTGCAGCACTTAAGAGCAGAATAAAAACTCCTATCTGCTATCATTCTAAGCATGGTTTCCCTTGCCTTTGAGGTCAAAACACCCTTGAGCACTCAGAAGCGATGGACTTTATCTAAATTGCTGCTCTGCATTGACTTTGTCTGCCTCATTTTATTTCCAAAGCTGAATGTATGTTCACCTCTACTTATTTCCAGAGCTTTAGTTCCAGATTGGTCACGGCCCCTTGAGAATACTAATGGACGTTTGGGCTTTATCAAACTATTGCTCTTTGCTTTTTAGTTTGGTAACACAGAGTTCAGATAATCAGCTGTGTGAAAAGCAGCCGATGCTAAAACGAGGTAGTTTGAAACATGTTGTCAGATAATTGATGCACCCTGTAGCTCCTTTGTTCTCCGAGCCGCCCACTCAGACGAAAATCCCTGCAGGAATGAATCAACGGGTCCTGCAACTGTCAAGAACACAAAACTAGCATAAAGTAGCAGGGACAAGTGTGTCTTTTTAGCATCTCATTTCTACCGGGGGTGTCTCAATGATGCTTAAAGGGAACTACAACCTGATTCAGAGCCAGGGCACTTTGTCTTGGGAGAGGAAGCTGCTGAGTGGATGAAAGGTGTGGGTAGCATGAATTGGAACTGGGAGGGAGGGTGGCAAAGAAGGGATGTGGTCGTGGCTTTAGTGACACAGCTAGGCATTAGCATGCGGGGGTTAGCACAACAAATGAATGGCCACCTCCGACTATTTCACTGTCGAGCTGTCACAGGCGTTGCTAGGCACCTGCGGCTAAGCTCATTGGGGTTAAAAAGGAAAATGAGCCTGAAAGAGAAACAAGCAGTTAGAACAGACAAAGATAAGGCCAAAGCCAGGACAGGGAGATTATGGATATTCATGTCTTTTTATTTTTTAGTTGACTAACTAAAAGACGTTCCTTCTTCACCTCATACTTTCCTGTCTCTGTCCATAGCCTAATCACTGGAAACAATCCAAACAAGGTAATAGTCTGATTAGAGCATTTACATGGTTTCCAGTAACCTGATTTCCCCCTGATTGTGGCTTTCATGAGGTATTTGATTACCGAGCTAATTTGTTAGGCTACAAAAACACACATAATACAGAACTTGGCTGGATTAAATATATATTCTTTTTAAAGAACCACGAATGAAACATTTGTGTTGAACGGCACTTCTTTTAACGTAATAACTGACTAGTAGTGCTGAAAGTGTCTTACTCTAATCGTAGTGTACGTCTGTTCGCCAACTCCTCCTAGATAACTTAATCAATCTGAATGAAATTTACAACATACACATCTGTAGAACTTTTGGGAATAATTTTTAAAACACTCAAGTCCTTAAATTATATATATTGTGTTTGGCAGCTGATCTCAAACAGCTACATAACGTATACGTTACGGATACGCTTATACAGATATTTCGTGTACGTTACACGTACGTTGTTGTTTCTGGATTCGATTAAGTATGTCATGCATGTCTTTTAAATATATGTTTGGCAAACAATGACACTATTAGTGCCTGTGGCTGGTTATTGACTTATTGTCTGATACCATGAATATGTAGCTTGCAAAGAAAAAGAAGACGAAATATAAGCATCAAAAAGAATAACATAATAAAATAACATACAGGTCTGTGTTATAGTACACGATCGAAGCAAACATGTGCAACAGGCCTGTCAAAAACAGCCCTACAGTCAGTAAAATAGGTTATTGGTTAAAGTCCAACAGATAAACTAACGAATATCTGACTTCCTGCGTAACCTTTCTGCTAATTATTCAAAACCCCACAGATGCGTTCTCATTCTGAAGTATGGCAGACACTGTTTAGACTTCAGCCAGAGTGATGCAATCTATAAGGCATCTTGCAAATATGGACAGTGTTTAATATAAATGGTATTCCCTAAAGCTGCAGTTGTGGTCCTCAAGAACAGCGGGGATCAACACTCACAGCTTGGTGCTGACAAGACCAACTGTGAAGCTTACTCTGACTCACTTAGAGCTGACTTGAGTTTGTTCTGTGTAGAAATGACCACCATCTGTCAGTAAATCAAAGTCTTTGTTCCATTTTTAGAGTATATAAAACTTCCTCAAATGCTTTGAGCAAATGGTGAAAGGAGACATATTGGCTTTTTCTTTTATTATCATGTATGTACTGTTAAAGTCCTGGACGCTCATAGGAAACATGGCCAAAGTTGCAAATAATAAGACCAATGTCAGGAACCTGTGAAGCAAAAACTTCTCTAAATGATCTGTCTTAGATAGTTTTCCCTACTTTTGGAACTAAAATGTCAAAGGGAGGCGATACCCATGAAATGGTCATCACAAACACAGCGTTCCCTCCTATTTGTTTTTCAAACCTTCTGTTTGAAAAATTGGAATGGGCTTTAATAAAAGGTGAAAGAGTAGTAGAGTCCAAGAATAAAAATATAGACCTAGAAACGAGCACAGGGACACTTCCTAAAAAAAATAAATCTTGATGTACAGTACTGTGCAAAAGTCTAAATTCTTTATACTTTGCTTCCAAGACCTGAGCAATAGTTCTGCAGGCCTTTCAAAGTTTCCCTTTGAACATTAGCTCATTTCAGTGCAGTCCTTTTAACTGCAATGGTCTCAGAGGAACGGTGGCTGTCAAGAAGCTTAAGGAAGGGAAGGAAGGGAAACGGTGGGGGGGGAAAAAGCTAAGGTATGCCAAATTACTGAAAATCAATGGCAATTGGTCTTATGGACTGCAGAATTCATTGGACATTTTTTGGAAAGTTTTGCATTTTGGAATCATGTCAAAATTAGAATTGAGTTATGAACGCAGAAAAATATTGTCAGATTTTTGATGTTTCATC